TGTTTTTACAAATACGGACAGTAGTAGACTATGTAAATATTGAAATCAAACGAATTGAACAGCGTTCTTATATACATATCTATGTATGTAAGTATGCATGTACATATATGCCTCATTATTTAGAGATGTACACAACCACTGTGGGGTGGAGTGAGGCAAACAGCTAGGTAAAAATTTAGTCGACATTACGTTACCAAATCGATCCGCGTTGAAACCTGGCCATGTGCCATAAAATTTATGTATTGTGTTACGATTTTCTCTCATATCTTGGCTAATATGGTTTAAAGACCAACCTGTTTCGATGTTGTGCCTTCTTCAGTGTAATTTTTCATAACATTAGTACATAATCTCCTTTCAGCTCTATACACTTTTCCCAGCGATACTCAATAAGCTCGATACCCCTTTTATAATAAGAACTGTCTTGCTTCTCAAAATAGCCATTAAGTGCCGACATCATTTGTTCATCGTTAGAAAATCTTTGACCACGGAGCCATTTTTTGAAGTTGGGGAACTGAAAACAGTCCGAGGGGGCTAAAGGTAGCAATTCAATCATTAATTCGCTAAACACTCAATTGAAACCTCTTCACGACCTTGTTTTTGGTCGAGTGTGAGCAAATGCGGCACCGATCTTGGACACAGCTTTCTCATTTCCAAATCTTCAGATACGTACTTTTTGAAATGCCGTCTATATCTGCTAGCTCGCGTACTTTCAGTCGACGATCATCTATTACCGCTTTGTGGATTTTCTCCACCATTTCTGGAGTCGTCTCACCTGATTTGGTTGAGACCACTGCGATGCTCGTCTTGGCAGCTCGTACGGCCTCGTTTAAACTCTGCTACCCATTATTTTACTGTTGTAAACGAAGGGACAGACCCGCCCAAAGTAGAATCTATTTCAGCTTTTATATTGGATGGGCTGAGGCCTTTCAAATAAAAGTTTTGTATCACATTTTCACAAATTCACTGAAAACGTTCGCTATTGACGGCTGCTAAGCATATGCTAAACAACGTGGCGTCTTCAACCTTTAGACATATGCTTTGTAGGTTGTGTAATTTTTAACGCAGTGATATTTTTCAACCACTACCGCCATCTCTAGGTTAGGCCGAGTACTTTTGGGACCACCCTCGTATAACAGTACTGATAACGATGTGGTATCGATGAGTTAATGGGTTAGATTGTGGTTAAATATATCGAAAAATAAATCAATGTCAATATTAACAAGCACATCCAAAAACCTAAATACTCCCCACCAAACAATTTTTGTTGCCGACAATAAAAAAGTCTCGCCCTCGGAAATAAATTTATTGCCGGTAATATAGCCGAATGAGTCGTTTTCTTATCGCTTGAGGCGATATTTGGAATAATTTTATTCTTTTTAATACTTAATTAATTTTTTTTTTTATACAGAACTAATTCTTTCTTTCACTATGGGGCTTCCTATTATTTCAATCCTGTCCATGGTATAAATTAGACGACTTTAAAATGAAATGGTGTTGCCGATTTGTCACCGCAGCAATAAATCGGTGAGTCGCCAATTTGTTGCCATAGACGATTGTTGTCTATTTCTCATGTTTTGCATGGTGGGTCAATTGCCTAAATAACATTATGTATGTATGTATTTTGGGTTTCTATCTTCGGGTGAGAGTGAGAGCCGAATGTCTCATACATATACATATGTAGGTAGTATCCAGTAAGTGTTCGTAACTAATCTTCATAAGTATATATATCCTAATCGAACAACGAACTGTAGCGTTTTAATTTATAAAGTACAGAAGGACTTACATACATATATATTTAATCTTGAGAGAGCGAATGGCGAAGTTTCTTGGTCTCGGCCCAAACCGACAAACGGTTGTAGTGCCAAATCTCAGAAGACGAAATAAGTAACTATGTAAAGAAGTCAAATTATTAGCTTGAAAGCTTTTACTGTTCAATGTACATATGCATTAAATTTTGTTAAATATGTCTAGTGCCTTGAAATAAAAATTAATTTACACAGTCTCACAAGAATTTGCAAAAATTAACTTGAAAATAAATAATCTAAACACTTGCATATTACGATTATTTTTACTACAATTTGCATATTACGAAAATCACTTTATTAGCTTCATTTTTTTAGCTTATGCATTCACGTGTTATTAATGTGAAACAATTGAAAATCTGCCTCGTGCGCTTTGTTCTCCTTAACAGCGGACAATAATGACAATAAAAAAATGTATGTATGTATGTGTGCATTCAAGTCAAATCTGTAATTTTAGTTAGCAGTTGGTGACTTTATGTTTTAGTGCATTAATACATAACATATAGATGCATATGTACATACATATGTATGTACCCGTATGCACAAATTTACAACCATACACATGTAAAGTGTTTTGACACTTTGCCTCGAGTGGTGGCGGCGGCGGAGGCGACGGCGCTTTTAGCCAATGCAGCCACTCACAAGCACTCACACACTTGAGTCAGTCGATCGAAATGAGTGTCAACAATATTAATGTTAAATATAACAAATATAATGACAGCAATTATTCGACTAATTTTGTTACAAACAAAATGAAAAACAAAAACGTAGACAACTTAGGTGCTTATACTATATAGTCATACAAAAAATTAGTTGTCTCAAAAGCTCTGCATACATCGCCTCAAGCTTTTTTTTATTTACATAGATTCAACTAATGATTGCATTGAAATGTTGAACTAAACGCCTGAGTTTTGTATTTGCATTCACGACTGCATACTATTTATTAACGCCAAAGTTGAAGTGTTTGATCGCTTTGTAGCCGCTTTATGTAAAGCTTAGGCAACTACTTTTAGTTGCTTACACTTATTCGGGGCTATAATCATATACATACATACACTCATACATATAAAGTTTCTAATTGTTTCTAAATTATTTAATGATTGGAACTATTTGGATATTTTATTTCTTTTAGATTGTGATTTCATTGACTATGCCTTGCGGCTCTGCTTTGTGTTATTATTATTAAATGTGTCATTGATTGTTTTGCGAGTAATTATGAGTTGAGGTGTTGAAGTTGCCAATGATGAGTTGATTGAAGTCATCGACAGCAGTAAATTGTGAGCTAAAGCTAAATAAGTAGCTAAACTATCGCATATACCTATTTATTATAGTGAAACCAAGGTCGCACTGTTCAAAATTGAATGGAAAATTTAAATTGACTTAAAAACTTATAATGGTGCTTAAAAAGCTTAATATTTAGAAGCTTTTCCAGACTTCTAGTAACAAGCAGTGATAACCCCAGAGCGCTCCGTATGCGTCCGCGTTAAATCTATAGAAAGCTTTGGCCGAGGGCTGTATTTGGTCGACATTAAACTACATATACATACAAATAATTGACGGACGTTTCTAAAGCTTGATTTAAAAGCTTTTGGCGATACTCAAAAATTTTTTGTTTTAGACGCTTTGGGTAAATTTTAATTGAAAGTTTTCGCGTCTTACAATACTTTCAATAATGTTTAGCAAAAGCTTCCGTTGCTCAGCTCGACGTTTCAATTAAACAAATCATAATAGAAAGCTTTAATTAAACACAAAATCTGTCAATTAAGGTCGAATAAGTTTAGTGGGCGACCTATTAAAGTTTTACGCAAAGATATTTTTTCCAGCAACTGGATTTATGAGTTTACAGAGAAAACAGCTTTGCCTAACCAACTTATCCTTAATTTTAATCAAAAATTCGTATATTTTTTATTTAAAAGTTGAACTAAAGGCCTTTACTTAAGTAGTTTTTAAAAAAGCTTTCATAAAAGTTTTAAAAGCTTTGTAAAAGGGCTTTTCAAAATTGCCACTCAGTTTGTCATTTCACATAGCAATTAAATATATTTTATTACATAGCTGGAGTTAAAAGCTTACAGAGAAAAAAGCTTGGTCTAACCAACTTGTCAATAATTTTATTAAGAAACTCGTGTTTTTTTTTTCAGAGTTTAACTAAAAGCAGTTAACAAAGAAGTTTTTTGAAATGCTTGCATAAAAGTTTGAAAAACTTGGCTTGAGGAGTTTATCAAAATTTCTAAGCAATTTTACTTAAAAGACTTNTTTATCCTTCACCTACTCCCTTTTCCATTGACTTTTCAATTTTATATTGCCAAGTTTTAGGCGCTTTCAAAGTAAAATGTAGAATTTTCCATCAACCCTGCCAATTCATTTGATTGATTTTCATTCGAACCCATTCATTAGTGACCTTGGTGAAATATTATACTGCAGCAGGCAGACATCGGGTCAGGATTCAATGCTTTGATGCGCATCGAAGAATAACAAAGGCGTTATACACAAAAATTTAGTTCTAAAAACTACACTACACAGATTTACTGCTGCAGCCACATGCTGAGTTGATTGCATAGTTACTCGCTGTAATCCTTATATCCGGCGCCTATACGCTTTCAATCTACACTCATTTACCCTTGAAACTTGAAAAGGTCAAAGCAAAATGCTATTTTTTTTTCGCTCACAATAATTCTACTTACTTGATGTCTAGATGGCGCAATACTCGGATTGCCGTTGGGGCCAACACCGCTGCCAACGCCGACGCCACCACCGCCGCCGCCATTATACGCATTCATATGACCCATTTGCATGTTGGAACCGGCATTCATGCCAATAACATTTGGATTACTGGCCACTTGCGAAGCGCCACCACCAATGCCACCACCCGTGCTATTCATATTTGTCGCACTTGGACTGCCACTACCAGTAGGGCCAATGTTGCCATTCATGTAAAGATTTTGCACATTGCTACCATGCATTTGATTGGCACTCATCTGTAAGAGAATAAATAAATAAAGAGGGGAGAGAGAGAGATTGGGAAATTATGATTAGTAAAAACGCGAAAAAGGGTATGAGTGAAGAAGTATAGAAATTGATGTTATTAACCAAAAAAAAGCTGTTATTTTAAACCTCTTTGGATCCTGCTGTTGAAGAATTTTGATTGCAGATACAAAATTTTTGCTATAAGAAAATAATTTTTGAAATTGGAGTGGCTATCTAAATATTTTTGAGCCATAGTAATGATAATTTAGCGCCTAAAAATATTCTTCACATAACCAAAAATAACTGGTATTACATACTTTCAGGCGCGCTTTTCTTAACCCATCCTATTATTTTTCACATGACTCTACAAAAATTAAAATAGCTGCGCTACACTCAGTTGGCCACCTCTAAATATGCTTGTGCGCCTAAAGGCACGCAACGGTTACCCCATTCTAGGCCTTAAACTACGCTGCAATGCCATTGCTGTTTGTTAAGCATTTATTTTTAGTTTAGTCTAACAATTTTTTTTTTTGTATTCCTATACCTACTCAATTCAATTTCTATTTTTACAAATTTTTTCCCCCAATTCCATACACTCACCTGCCCATATCCACTGCCCATGCCACTCATATTATCCATCTGTTGTTGCTGTTGCAGACCGCCACCATTAGCCGTGACCATATTACTATAGTTGCCGTAGCCGCTGGTTGTTGTAAACTCCGAATTCGGACCAAATGTATTCTTTAGTGTGCGCAATGTATCTGGCTCACCCATCGAATATGTACCAATTGGTGTTGTAATGCCATTCTGTGTGGGTGTTGTATTATATACGCTGGGATAGTTGCCGTATGTATTATTTTGTTGAGCTGATTGTTGTTGTTGTTGAATTTGTTGTTGTTGCTGTTGCTGCTGCTGTTGTAATTGCTGCTGCTGCTGTAATTGCTGCTGGTGTTGCAGTTGTTGTTGCTGTTGTATTTGTTGTTGTTGCTGTTGTAGTTGCTGTTGCTGCGTTTGTACGTCGGGTAGTTGTGGTGATATTTGGCTCCCGGAGGCTGGCGCCCTCGAGGAGCCGGTACCGGCGTTCATTTCATCATTTTTTCTGCAAAGCAAAGAAGAAGGGAGAAAATTAATGATTTGGACATTTGCAGTATAAGAAGTTTCTTTAAACTTAATTTTTCGAAAGTGTTGAAGATGAACTTGTAGCTTTTATATTTTTTAAATATATTTTCAGATATAAAAACCTTGCAAATGTTATGCATAAATTTAGACAAGCAAATTGTGCTATTTAGTATATCATTAATAAAAAAAAATTTTTTCCTTTAAATCACTTTCATGCCTAAATATATGCTTCATTATAAAAAAAAGATCTTAAAAATATGCATACCCATTTCTATGCATTTTTATTAATATATTTTCCATAAATTAGCATGCGAGCAGCAAAGTGCACTTAAAGGTCTTCGTACTTCCGTTGTACCGAAAAATATTTCGACACTCCTTTGTAACTACGCATACCTTTTTGCATATATATACATATTAAGTATCATCTCAAACGAGCTTACTTGTACTTTCGTGCCTATTTTTAGGTGTATGCAAATTAAAAAGAAAAAAAAAACATTAGCACACCAAATTGACAGGAAGCAAGTGTTTGAGATGCTAAATAGTGATCAAAATGTCATGCTGACCAGTAGGAAATGTTTTCACGAGATACACATGAATAAGTTAATTTCGAACTTTTCATTTGCCTGTCATCTATGACTTCTTTGCTGACGCATATATGGCGGTAACAATGTGCACTTGTTCGACGTTGGTGCAGTGGATAGCTCTACAGATGGAGCCTCAAGCAAAAATCAATCTCTAGCCCAAAATACCACATTGCTTCTCCCAGTCGAATGCGTTGTTAATTCCAAGATACCCCTTAGATCCCCAATGAACTTTTAGGTGCTTTAAGTTTAACAGAAATCTTTGTGGAGAGCAGAAGGTAAATCTCATGCTTAGGTCGTAGTCTACACTTCATTTTATTATCTATCTATAAGCTATTCCTTTCAATTGGCACCCTTGTTACTTCTCTTGCATCAATGATTTCTTCGCTGAAACTGTCACTTGTAAATTTTTTCCTACTGGCCATACTACTGTACGTTCGCTGAAAGACAAGCTTAAATAAATACATTTATGCAAACATACAAACAGTTAACGTCAATGAAATGAAAATGTTTGAAGGAACAAAAGTTATTTTGAGAATAAACCTTTCAATGTCATAACATTGTGTGGGTCGACAGGCAGATTAGAGCTTAAGATTGTATTGAAAAATATGAAAGAAAGATGTACACAACTATTTTAAGGGTGAGTTTATAAATATGTAACTGTATGTAATATATACCTATGTACATATGTATTTTGAACAAATTTTGGAAGGTAAAATCATCACTGATTGAGAAGAAAATTTATGTAGACGTGNAAATTTAGACAAGCAAATTGTGCTATTTAGTATATCATTAATAAAAAAAATTTTTTCCTTTAAATCACTTTCATGCCTAAATATATGCTCCATTATAAAAAAAAATATCTTAAAAATATGTATACCCATTTCTATGCATTTTTATTGATATATTTTCCATAAATTAGCATTCGAGCAGCAAAGTGCACTTAAAGGTCTTCGTACTTCCGTTGTACCGAAAAATCTTTCGACACTCCTTTGTATCTACGCATACCTTTTTGCATATATATACATATTAAGTATCATCTCAAACGAGCTTACTTGTACTTTCTTGCCTATTTTTAGGTGTATGCAAATTAAAAAGAAAACAAAAAACCTTAGCACACCAAATTGACAGGAAGCAAGTGTTTGATATGCTAAATAGTGATCGAAATGTCATGCTGACCAGTAGGAAATTTTTTCACGAGATACACATGGACAAGTTAATTTCGAACTTTTCATTTGATAGTCATAGATGACCTTCTTCGCTGACGCATATATGACGGTAACACTGTGCATTTGTTCGACGTTGTTGCTGTGGATAGCTTTACAGCTGGAGCCTCAAGCAAAAATCAAACTCTAGCGCAAGATACCACCACATTGCCTCTCCCAGTCGAATGCGTTGTTAATTCCAAGATAACCCTTGGAGCCTCAATGAACTTTTAGGTGCTTTAAGTTTAACAGAAACCTTGTGAAGTGCAGAAGGTAAATTTCATGCTTAGGTCTTAGTCAACACTTCATTTTATTATCTATCTATAAGCTATTTTTCCTTTCAATTGGCACCCTTGTTACTTCTCTGGCATCAATGATTTCTTCGCTGAAACTGTCACCTGAAAATTTTTTCCTACTGGTCATGCTACTTTACGTTCGCTGAAAGACAAGCTTAAAGAAATACATTTATGCAGACATACAAACAGTTAACGTCAATGAAATTAAAATGTTTGAAGGAGTAAAAGTTATTTTGAGAATAAACCTTTCAATGTCATAACATTGTGGGGGTCGACAGGCAGATTAGAGCTCAAGATTGTATTGAAAAATATGAAAGGAAGATGTACACAACTATTTTAAGGGTGAGTTTAAAAATATGTTACTGTATGTAATATGTACCTACATATGTATGTATTTTGAAGAAATTTTGGAAGGTAAAATCATCACTGATTGAAAAGAAAATTTATGTAGACGTCACAAAGGTAGTTACAGGGGATGGCTTCTTAGTTTGAAAGGGAATAACACAAAATACATGCTGCTCAATTTAAACACTTTGGAAAAATTTACATATTTGCATACACATGTACCCGTAGTTTATGTAAAATATTCTTTGGTCAGTAAAAATATGGAGTCTTTCAAGTATTGTAAAGAAAAAGTAATTGAGCTGTTTTATACAACATGAAGCCCCAAAATATGAGGTTGATATGTACATATGTATGTATGTACATAGGCTTTCCGTAAGAAACAAAAAAAAATATATAAAAATACGACAGCTAAAATAAAGGTGCGTACATACACGTGCGTCACTATCACTAGCCACTCTTTGCCACCTGTCCTTCGCTGCCTCTTCTACGAACAGAACATACATATGTATGGGCATAATATTATGCACTATGCCTANATACATGCTGCTCAATTTAAACACTTTGGAAAAATTTACATATTTGCATATACATGTACCCGTAGTTTATGTAAAATATTCTTTGGTCAGTAAAAATATGAAGTATTTCAAGTATTGTAAAGAAAAAGTAATTGAGCTGTTTTATACAACATGAAGTCCCAAAATATGAGGTAGACATGTATGTACATATGTATGTATGTACATAGGCTTACCGTAAGAAACAAAAAAAAAAATATATAAAAATGCGACAGCGAAAATAAAGGTGCGTACATACACGTGCGTCACTATCACTAGCCACTCTTTGCCACCTGTCCTTCGCTGCCTCTTCCACGAACAGAACATACATATGTATGGGCATAATATTATGCACTATGCCTATATGTATAACGTATACCTGTACTTGATGCCTTAAAATGCGTTGACTTCATACTACATACATACATATGTATGTGCACATGAAACCAAAATGAAAAAAAATCGTTGCAGTCATTTGAGAAAAATTTTACGCTTGCTTTTTTGGCTGTGAGCTGCAGTGCTGTTATCTTATTTTTTTTTGTGTTTATCTCAAGGATGAGTTATCGCATACAACGGCTGGAATAGCAAGGTGAATGTGACTGCCAGAAGAGGAAGCAGAAAGGAAGAGAAGAAGACTTTCGGTAAATAAAACTACATAGTTAAGTAAAAAACGACGTTCAACAATGTGTACCTATCTACACACGTGTATGTACTTACTAGCTCATGTGTATGTGGCTACATANAAAAAAAAATATATAAAAATGCGACAGCGAAAATAAAGGTGCGTACATACACGTGCGTCACTATCACTAGCCACTCTTTGCCACCTGTCCTTCGCTGCCTCTTCCACGAACAGAACATACATATGTATGGGCATAATATTATGCACTATGCCTATATGTATAACGTATACCTGTACTTGATGCCTTAAAATGCGTTGACTTCATACTACATACATACATACATATGTGCGCATGAAACCAAAAGGAAAAAAATCGTTGCAGTCATTTGAGCAAAAATTTTACGCTTGCTTTTTTGGCTGTGAGCTGCAGTGCTGTTATCTGTTTTTTTTTTTTGTGTTTATCTCAAGGATGAGTTATCGCATACAATGGCTGGAATAGCAAGGTAAATGTGACTGCCAGAAGAGGCAGCAGAAAGGAAGAGAAGAAGACTTTCGGTAAATAAAACTACATAGTTAAGTAAAAAACGACGTTCAACAATGTGTACCTATCTACACACGTGTATGTACTTACTAGCTCATGTGTATGTGGCTACATAAATGGCGCGTGTAGCTGTTGACAATGCGCAAACAACACTGGAGAAGTGGGGGCCAACAAAGAAAATACATTTTGAAAAAATAAATAAAAATAAAAATCAAGCTAAGTGAATGCATATACAGATGCGTTCAACTAATTGGCAACGAAATTCAAAATGATATTGTTTGCAAATTATGTTTATTTAATTATTTTTAATAATTTTCATTTGAAATATAATTCAATCTATATCAGAAATCACAGCAATAAAAATTTAAAAGCTTGCACAAATTGCAAAAAAAAATAATCAAACTTCAAAAAATTGACATCAAAATTTCAAAACTTTTAATTCGATTTTTTTTTGTGTAGGATGTTGCGCATTTTCTTCCATGTAACACATGATAAAAACTTTTTTATATGAAAAAAACGGCAACACCCTTTTTACATATTATTATTTTTTTGTTATTTAATTTTGGTTATTTTTTTTATTAAAAATATAGTTCATTCGTTAACGAAACTCGTGTAAATCCAAGTCTGAAACTTTTTCGAATATTAAAAAAAAAATCAACAAACTATCGTAAAAATACGAGCTTTTTTAATTAGTTTTCCTAGAAAGATTCTGAGTTGCAGTTTTGTTACCTTTTATTTTTTAGATTTTTCCGTGATCTTATGGTTTTATTCCATATAAAAATTAATTGTGTGTATTCGTCATATGAAAGCAAATGGGACAAAAAAATTCTGAAAAATCA